CTGAAACCCCACACACATTTCCTCCCTCACTTGCATTGCATGCATTTTACTGTTAAAAGCTGATGTTTTTGTCTGTTTCTGTGTATCATTGACATGATCCCGTAGGACTCTCATTTCTTCTGACGAGGATTTGATGATAGACTTTTAGGTTGAAACCCATGCATGATAACATCTAGGAGTTCCCTGTTCAAACCTCAACCATAGGATGAATCCATGGCATGATAACAGTAGGACTTGATAGTCTCCCTCCTAGTTGAGCCATATTTTCAGTAGTTTCCCGAACTACGTTTGCTCTGATCTTTCATACCAGATGAAGGTACGTAGGCATAGGATGCGATATCCTAGCGAGCAACCTTTCCCCCATCTTCCCCCGTAGTTAGCCGAACTACGTTGACTCTGATTTCTCATTCTCTGATGGGAATACGTAGGCATAAAGCGCGACGCTTTGCCGAGTCATTTTTCTTTTCTTTTTCAGCCAGCCTTGATAGGTAGATAGATTATAACCAACCCGTCCAAGTAAACAAACAAGCGAGGATCCCGTCGAGTACGACGGACGTGAGGGGTGCTAATACCTTCCCCTTGCGTAACCGACTCCCGAACCCAGACAATGGTTGCGATGACCTTGTCTTACCCTTTTTCGTCAGGTTTTTCCGATCGTTTCCTTTCCCGCTCTGAGGGATAAATAACGAAAGGTGGCGACTCTTCTGTCATGCCGGCACCTTATTTTCGCGCAAGCGACACTGACGAAGAAGGAATTTGAAATGTCGGATCTGGGAAAGTTGTCGTACTTCCTAGGCATGGAATTTCAAATTTCGAAGCAAGTTATGGTGCATCAAAGAAAGTATGTCAAAGAGATATTTAAGATATTCAAGATGGAAGACTTCAATTCTGCATCCTCACCCGTCGAATAAAATTTAAAGCTGAGAAACATGAAGAGGAAGACAAAGTCGATCTCACTTTATTCAAACAAATTGTCAAATCATTGAGTAAATAGATACATGAGTGAACCAAGGGTGTCATAGATGAAGGCTACAAGAAGAATCCTGAGATATTTAAAGGGATCGACAAACTATGGAATTCTATTTCCATGAGATTCTGAAAGAAAAGAAGTTGAGATTACTTTCTATTCAGATGTTGATTAATGTGGAGATAAGGAAGATCGAAGAAGCACAACTGGTTATTATTTTCAAGTATTTGGTGCCCCAATCTCATGATGCTTGAGAAACCAACCTGTGGTGGCATTATCATCATGTGAGGCTGAATATATAACAAGATCCTATGGAAGAGATGGAGGTCGAAGTGAAGAAATCTCTGGTGCTACAAATCGACAACAAGTTAGCCATTAATCTTACAAAGAATCCAATTCTGCATGAGATAAGTAAGCACTTTGAGGTTAGGTTTCATTTTCTAAGGGAGAAGGTAAACCGGGGTGACCTTGAAGTGAAATATTACTCGAGTGAAGCACAGTTGGTCGACATTCTCACCAAAGGATTGAAGGTCGAGATATTCCTAACTTCGAGAAAGAAATTGGGAATAGTTCAGATCGATTATGACTAAGTTTGTGTTTGATAACTTGAATTATAAGAGATATGTTAATCCAAGTTGTGTAACTTAAGCCCAAACTCAAATTAATTGCTTGACTTGAAAGTTATATATATATATATATATATATATATATATATATATATATATATATATATATATATATATATATATATATATATATATATATATATATATATATATATATATATATATATATATATATATATATATATATATATATATATGGTTCACTGCAGGCACAACATGTGCTACAATACTGATCCCCAAATTTTAGAGGGTCCATTTTTTTTTTTAATTTTTTAGAAAATACATTTTACACCTACTTTTTCAAAAGCTGATGTAAAATATAATTTGTTTTCAAAATCTATTTCACACCTATTTTTTAAAATAAGGTGTAAAATGATAATTTATTTTTAAAATTCGATATAAATTCGATATATATATATGGCCGACCCAATCAATCCGATAATAACAATATTTTTAATTTTAATTCAATTTTAAAATAATAATCACATCCGATAATAACAATATTTTCATTCTCTCTTCCTTTCTTCATTAAAAATGTATTAGGCATAAACACTATGTTGTTTATTATTAGATAACATTATAACCATGATAATTGGTGTCTCAAATATAAAAAATTATAAATTGCTAGGATGAAATATAGATTGTTTATTGAAATTATCATTGAAGTAAAATTGATTAAACTCTTTAGATGCTACTTAAATATATATAACATACAATTAGGATTCGCAAAAAGTATTCAAACAATCAAAATTAATTCTCAGTGGAGGAGATTCTCTAATGTGTCGCTAAAATTTGAATGAAATGTACTACATTAATGTGCTGAATTTGGCAATTGGCAATTGTTTGTTCTGTTTTAGTTTATGTTCACTTGAGTTTATAAAATTCTGGTTTACTTAATTCTGGTATAAAAACATACTTAAGAACCTAGTACATTAAAACACATCTTTTCTATGCACATATTTTATATGCCACTGGTTCATGTATCGGTTAATAAGAGATTTTTTTATCCATTCGGATTAAAAAATCTTGAGTGTTATATGGATTTTTTGTTCATTAGTGTAGAATCCAAAAATTATCAACTTACGAAAAAAGTGAGAAGAGGAAAGTTTCATGTGTTACAGAGATGTTTGGATTCTAAAATTCGGAGAGTGTTTTTAATTGTCCGAAATCTAGAATCCAGAGAGCATTTTGGCCATTTCAAGGAGTTTTTGAGAAGTTTAATTGATGAAAATAGAAAACTCATTTTTCTTCATTATGATTACATGTTAAATCCCAAAATTTCTGTTTTTGCAATCCTACATGTGCAATTTCTTATGGCCTGTTTGTTCTGGCGGTGTTCAATATCTAGCTTTCTATAATCACAATGTAACTGAAATTGGAATGCAAGTTATATAATTTTGGACACAACCAAACAAGTGCTTATTCAACTAGGCATACCTGCTAAAACACCATTGCGAGTGAAAGAATACGAAGGTTACCCAAAATATACCTAAACCAAGAATATGATGTCTCAGCTCATTCAAGATATCATCCTTATCCTGTAGCCAAATAATAAGGATAAATCAAGAAAAGGAAAGAAACCCGAATACAGAAACCATATTTTCAAAACATGGTACTAGCTGCATCTTTGGCATTATACTTGAAAGGGTGCTCAAATATCTAAAAAGCACAAGGCCAGAAGCACATAAACAAAAAAAAAAATTTAATGTTGTAGTCTATGCCAAAAAATAAATCCAAAAGGAAGAGTAAGGATATGCAATGGGGAGCCAATCGACTTCATGTGATAATCTCGGGAAGAAAATCTGGCAAATTGCAATGTAAGGTGTACATAAATTGGATATACATTGAACAGGACTATATCCAAATTGAAACCAATAATAAGGATTGCATATCAAAACTGAACCAGATGTCTTTCTACGAAACAGGTTTTGTTTTGTCAAACTAGTTTCCAAGCTGGATTTAAAACTAGGACTCTTCCTTGATATTTTGTAAGAAAACATTGGATCAAAAGTTTATCACCAGTAATGTTCTGATACACAATCAGCTTGCCTTCAAGAAGCAACAATATCTCATTTTGCAACCAATCTAATAGAGGTGGCAATGAAATTCATTTAGATAATATCCATCCAATTCATATAATAATTTATCCATCCAATCCATCCATAAGACAAAAAATAATTTAATGGATTTGATTCAATCCATCCACTAACTCATATGGAAGAATTCAATCCATCCATCTCATTTTATAAATCCATTGGATATTATGTTATCACTTATTAAATTAGTTAAAAAATTTATATATCTCATAATTTAAGTTTTTTTACAAAATTTAAAAAATAATTTAAAATATTTAAATTATGTTTCTATGAAATTTAAAAAATAATTAAGAATTTTTAAATTAATTTTTTAGATGATCCATCCATTAGAAATATATTAATGGATGAATTGGATGGATTTTATCTTTTAATAGATGGATTGGATTGGATTTTTATTAAGAGAATTTAGTGGATTGTTAATGGATTAATGGATTGCTTTGATCCATCCATTAACAATTCAATCCATATCCATCCAATCCATCCATTTTGCCACCCCTACAATCTAACCAATTGAGTCTGTTCTTCAATCTAATTTTGGCACTACTAGAATGAAAATGATATTGCTCAATTGAGCATTAAAACCACAACATACTGGTTCCAAATTCCTTGTTACCCTGCATCTGTTCTACCATCAACAGGTTCCATTGTCGGGTCTACCGTCAGGCTAGGAAATCATGTTATTTGCCAGAAATGGGTCTACACCAGTTCAAATATTTCGTTCAAAATCCAATTTTAAATCAAGCATTAAAACCTGTTTCAAAAACCGGTTCTGGTTTCGTTCAAACTAGGTTTTAAACTAAAAGTAAACCAGTTTTGGGGAATATCTGGCTCAATTTTGAAATCAAGTTCTTCTTATTGGTTGAAATTTCAACATGGCTTGGTTTTATGAATATCCAAACCATGCAGTCCTGGGGTCACTAGGTTTGGTGTTGGGCAAAGGAGTCAGCTGTGGAATGGTAAAAGAAACTTGATAGTTTATGGAATTTAATAATATGAAAGACGATAATGTGGATATCCAACCAGTTTAAAAACCAAATAAACAAAATAGAGTTTAAAAAGTTAAATGGATAGGTTAAAAATCAATTCTAATAACCAGGCTTTTAAATATGGTTTGGATTTGGTTTACTTCACTAATAAAAAAACCAGATATGTTGAACAGGCCTAAAAGCAATACTTATATACTACAGTGATAAGATACATACTGGCAAATTGAGCAATTGATTACTATTAGGTAACGACGTTTTAGAATTAACAAGAGATTATCCACATACAGAAGTGGTTCAACTTATCAAAGTTAACTTACCTAATATCTCAAGAAGGTTCAATCACATGTTTGAGAATCTCCGTCACCATTTTCATGATATCTTCTTCCTTACAAGAGGTTGCCAAAGTTACTGACAACAAAATCTCTTTTATGGTTACTCAGAATGCAAAGTTAGTTCATATGGTTGTATGAATAGGTTTATAGAAAACTAAAAGCTAAAAACAGTATATTTGAACCTAGATTCACTTTCTTACCCCATGCAATAACTGGGAACTCCCATTTCTGTTTAGGGACTGTCATTAAGTATGATACAACCTGCAAGAGTATATCATAACTTTCCAAACTCAAAAGCTTATAAGACATTATTTGGAATATGGAATAGTTAAGAAATAAACAAATTACCAAGATTGATGCAGCAAGGGAGTGAGGAGTTCTATAAAAGTATGATGTCTCTTCCTTTTCATAGAGAAGATCCATAATATCCATGCAAACTTCAAATCTAATCAACTCACCAACTTTTGCTACTCCCCTTAGCTCAACCATTCAAAAGCAGGAAACATCGGTGTAAGACACAATAAAAAACAAACTTCAAATCTAATCAACTCACCAACTTTTGCTACTCCCCTTAGCTCAACCATTCAAAAGCAGGAAGCATCAGTGTAAGACACAATAAAAAACAAACTTCAAATTCAAATATCAAAGTTAGAATCGTCTTCTTCTTAAGAACATCATACTCACTTGATTTGAATCCAAAGCTCTTGAAGTAACGAAAAGGCTATATTTGTTGTGCCGATCTCAAAGCTCAACACCTGAGGAAATCCCAATCTATGTCAAAATCAGATGATATACCTCAGCTGAGTACACAACTTCAATTTATACCTGCATGAAGAGCACCTCCTGCAGATCAAGTACTTCAAATTTGAGAGAAATACAAAACAAAAAGCTTCATGGTATATCAAAATGGAAAACAAAATACAATTCTATACCATGCAAATATTATGCATTTTATAATTTACAAGAATCTCTATTTGCTGAAATAAAAACACAATTAACCCAATGGACTTGTTTGCTTACTGCTTCTAAGAAATTCCGAGTTGTGAAGTGTTGTTCCTTGATTGATTTATCCGCCAAAGATTTCAAACTTGCAACAGAGAGCGGTCGAGAATCATGTATCTACAAACAAATATCAACAACAAATAACAGTCCCAAATCACAGTGAATTATATAACAAACAAGTGTGAAATCTAAACGTAAAAATCGAAACTCCTCCCACTTTGCTTGAAATCCATAGAGAAATAAGCACAAACAGCTGCAAGGTGCTTTCAGTGACAGGCTTCAACAGCCAGTTCAACGAATTCGCGCGTTCTATGTATCTAAGTATCGGAAAAAAGACAATTAATCAGTAACAAAATCTCAACAATGCAAGTTATATAGTGAGAGAGAGTGAGAGATTACGGTGGTAATGAGGGAATGAAGCGATCGGCGAAGAAGGAGAATGCTGAGTATTTAACAATGGCGGAAACATTGAGATCCTAGTTGGAAGGAAGAGGATTATGAGAAGGTGAAAAGAGGAAGAAGAGAAAATGATGAGATGATAGAAGAATGGTTAGTAGCACTTACATGTGAAGATTTGAGGAGAAACTCAACGGTTTTGAGGCGCTGAGATGAAGACGCCATTGCTTGGACGCTACGTTATGGTATTGGCCAGTCACTGAAATTGATTTTATAGGTTTGGTTCTATAGAAGTGAGTGTTTTTTAGGTATTTTTCTTTTTGAAACTGAAATTTTAATCTGATTTTTACATTAAAATTAAAATTTATCGTTTATATAAATGTATCTACACATTTTTTTTTATTTTCAATTTGTTTTTAATAAAAAGAATTTTTTTATTAAATTAATTCATTCAAAAAATTATTTTTAGGTAAATAATTTTCATTGGAAAAAACTCAATTTTTTTGATTGAGTTGATACCAAAAGTGTCTAAGACAAGCGAAGCATTATTTTATTTGGTTCTCCATTGATGAAACTTGATTTGGAATGATGTATATTTGATTTTTTTAATAAAAAAATTGATTTTAAGTGAATTGATTCAGGTTTAATATGAATTGAATGTAAAGTGATTTATTTTTAAATAATTTTGTGTAAATTGAGTTGAACAAATAAATTGAAAAAATGAGTTGAACAAAATAAATTTAAATATAAAAATCGCATTTAAATTCAAAAGTTATAAATTATAGTTTTAAGTAGAAATAGTTTTAGAAGCAAAATCAATTATATTTTAGAAAAAAGCAAGCACCTCAAAATCATTCCAAAATTAATATATTAAATTAAATTAAATAATAGGTCAAACCATGTTAAAATCATCCTAACCATACTCAAAATCATTCCAAAATTAATATATTAAATTAAATTAAATAATAGGTCAAACCATGTTAAAATCATCCTAACCATACAAATGACGTAGTATGTTACTATGAAAGTTACAATAGAGAAGCAAGAAGAGGAATAAAACACGAAGGATATAAGAAAATTAGAGACAAGTGCAGAAGACAATTAATAGCGGCATTATTGAACTTTAGCAAGCCATTGTAGAGCTTCACCACCATGGCGTTGCAATTCAGAATTTCTACCATAATTGAAAAACTAAAGAAGTAATATAAAATTAGCGCTTCTACATGACATCAAGCCTCTATCACACCCTAAATGAAAAACACGACATATTCATCATCATGTCACTGCTATCCAAACATTATGCCAAATCTTGAAACAAATAAATCAAGCAATCACAACGCTCTTAAGTAGTACCACGGTGCAACCACACATTTTCAATTTTTTTCTCATAAACTTAAAAATGTGTTCAGCCATTAGGGTTTTGAATTTTAGAAAGTCTAAGGTGTTTTTTCTGTACCAATGAGATGAGAAAATGAAGCATACCATTTGGGGATCATTCATAATCATTGCAAGTCTTTATTTTTTATTTTTGTTTTGGACTGGGCCGACGCTTAGCCCACTGCCTAGCAGGCCCAAAGCCCATTGCCGTTGGACCCGTCTGAACCACGCTGACGGGCAGAAGACTTGTCGAGCACAACCTTCCTCCCCGTCGGGCAAGGCCCCCACATCCGGCCAGACAACCTCCTTCTTCCCAGTTGTCGGGCAGAACCTTCGCTGCCACCAGCCAGCCTTTGTCCTTTCCTTAGTCGGGCAGGAACCTCGCTACCGACCAGCTAGCCTTTGTCCTTTCCTTAGTCGGGCAGGACCCTCGCTGCCGACCAGCCAGCCTTTGTCCTCTCCTTAGTCGGACAATCCCACATCCGTCGAGCAGGACCCTCGCTGCCGACCAGCCAGCCTTTGTCCTCTCCTTAGTCGGGCAGGACCCTCGCTGCCGATCAACCAGCCTTTTTCCTCTCCTTAGTCGGACAAGCCCACATCTGTCGAGCAGGACCCTCGCGTCCGACCATCCAGTCTCCCTCTCCTCCTTAGTCGGGCAGGACCCTTGCATCCGACCAGCCACCTCTGTCTGCCCGGATGACTCCTCAGACCTTTCCACACGTTCTCCACGTGCTCCCCTTCGCGGGGACACGTCATCAGACAACTACCCACCTCCGAAAGAGCAGGTCATCCCACCTTCTGGAGATCACGGGACAGTTGACCTAGGGCGAATACCACGTCCTGGTCTTCACTACGCCACATAAGCCCTAGCAGTCACTTGGGTTGGGCCTGGTCATCCAGCCCAACGCAAATGACTTGTTCTGGCCTGGGCCTCGGCCTGACCGGGAAGGCCCAGCCCACCTACACTTGGGGAAAGTCCCAAAGGATCCTTCCTCATATGTGTCGTGCACAGGTCCTCTGTCGACCAGACACTGTCCTCGCCAGGCAGAGCACCTCTCCCGTCGGGCAGGAGTCTTCCCCGTCGGGCAGAAAGACGTGTGCCTCACACGTTCTCCACGTGCTCCCCTCCGCGGGGACACGTCATCATCCAACTATCCACCTCTGAAAGAGCGGGTCAGCCACCTTCCGGAGATCACGGGACAGTTGACCTAGGGCGAATACCACGTCCTGGTCTTCAATACGCCACGTAAGCCCTAGCAGTCATTTGGGTTGGGCCTGGCCACCCAGCCCAACTCAAATGACTGTTGGCCCTACGCTGGGGTATCTCTATAAACACCCTCTCTCACAAGAGGGTCAGGTATTCGATTCAATTCTCAACCTACTTTCTGTATTTGCTCTCACTCTGCCCAATTCCTTACTTTGGCGTCGGAGTGTCTTGCAGGTACACCCCCTCCTCCTTCTTACAACCGGTGAACAAGCAGTAGATCAAAGACGCGGGGCAGTCCATTGATTCCCTTCTGATCAGGTCAGATCAATTTTCTATTGTTAAAACCACAAATCCCTTAAGGATGAGTGGCTAATTTTCTTAGATTAGATTTCCTATAAATGACTCTACCATAAACATGTGATTTATATAATTATATATGATTGTCTTTATAATAAATATTTATTTATTTATATAGCTTATTTTAGTTTTAAGCATTCTCCTCCATATGTAATCGTTAGAATTGATTTAAATGACAATTGAGAGTTAGCGTGAAATTTTTCACTCGTTTGGTACAATTATGAGATTGTAATGATAGTTTATGTTGTGACAAGAATGGTCTCAGTTATTAATCTAGTTTTACATGCTCTATAAAACCTTCGTCATAATGATTTGAGACTCTAAAATAGAGTCGTCTCAATTTTTCGGAGGCCCTGTGTAGATTAATGCTAGTTTAATTATGTAAAACGAATTGAGGCCATATCTAACCACATTTTAACCACTATAAATATTTTTTGAGGCCCTATTAAACTACGGGTTGACTTTAACAAATTTGAGACCATGTGTGGTAGCCCGTCTTGCATGCCCACTAAGATGGCTCTGCTCCAAATATATGGTAGGGGTTGCTTCAGACAAAGCAGATTGCCTTGTGATTGGATACTCCTATCATATATGAGTTGCGAGGTTATAATTTTGTGTTTTAAAAAAATGTCTTCTTATTTACGTGCCATAAATCTTTCGTAGTTAGGATTGGATAGTCCAAGTATATAGGTGATTGTTTTAGACGAAGCAAGTCGTCTTGCAATTAGATAATCCTAGTATATGGAGGCGGCGAGGTTGTAACTCTAGGTATTGTAAAAGGTTATAACTAAAACAAAGTGATTACAGGTTGAATCATGGGATTTATCACATCTAAGACTATATGATTCGAAAGGTGAACTCATTTTATTTAGTTAGCGTTTTAGATTTATAATTAAACATACAAATCAATTAGTCACGCTTTACGCACCCCCTCGTTACAAACTCATTATGTTAAATTCACAAGTGCAATTATCTTGTTCTTGTATAAGTTTAACGTAACTCTTATGGATACGATAATTTGACTTGCCACATTAGAGTTTTTGTTGGCACAATTACTGCAACTACATTTTTACAACCAACAAATTGACATTATTGTTGGGGATTGTTTATCACCTCAACAAGACAACAACAAACGAATGTACTTGATTTTTTAGCGCATTTAAATTTTATTTTATTTTATTTTTTATCTCCTAGATACAACTGAAGTTATTTGTTATTTTATTTTTGTGCAGTACATGTTTTAAAGAAATGTCAAATTAATATTTGGCACATAATTTGTACAATAATCCATATTAACATAACTAGAATGTTGTTATGTGTGATTGTTGGGACGATGATCAATGAAATACTTAAGGTTTCATGCATAAGAAGCAATGCATATGGTGGGGTATCATGAAAGCACATATCAACGAAGCAATTATTACTCAAACTTTTATGCTTCGACATATATGGGTGATTATCAAGAGCAACAATTGTAAAAAAACAAAAAAAGAGGTCTCATTTGATTAAGTAGCCTTTTGTATAGATTTTTTTTATATTTTCGAAGGAAATTTTTGGAATTCTAGAGAAAAACCAAAGAACAAGAAAATGTATGAAAGCTGCCAAAATATGGAGTTGAGGAGTATGAAGATTCATAACAAAGCAGTGCTATTTTTTTTAAAAAAAGAAGTCCTAAAAGGGTAAAAAAAAATAAGGTGACAAAAGTTGTCGCATAAGAAAAGTTCGTGTTTGAGGGGGAAAATGAAGAAGAATGTGTGAGAGAAGAAAAAAAACGAGGAAAAGAAGGAAGCCCTCATCTCTAACATGCCTTACACTAGAGCACCTTAACTTTATCTGAAGAAGTAATATGAAAAAGAAGGACAACTTAAGAGATTTTATGGAAATGTTTACTCAAGTTCAAGTAAACATCCTTTTGGCAGAAGCCTTGGAACAAAAGTCGGTTTATGTGAAAATTGTGAAGGATTTGTTGGCAAAGAGAAGGAAGCTCAAAGATAATGATAATATTTCTTTAAATGTAGAGTACATTTCAATAATTCGACAAAATTTACCTCTTAAATTAAAGAATCCAAGAAGTTTTACAATTCCTTGTACTATTGGGAAACTACATGTGGAAAGAGGATTGTGTGATTGGGGGGGGGGGGGGGGGGGGGGGGGCGAGAATCAATTTGTTTCCTTTGTCTATGGTGAGGATGTTAAATTGTAAAGAACCTAAATACACAAAAATGGCACTCGGATTAGTCGATATATCACGAGTTTATCCTTACGACATCTTAGAGGACGTACA